GCAAAGTATGACCTCTGGGTCAAATCTGGCCTATCACTTGGTTTTGCAAATAAATTTTTATTGGAATAGACCATGCTCTTTCATTTCTGTTTTGTCTATTGATACTTCCATGCTACTAAGGCAAAATTAAATACTTGCAACAGAGAATAGAACCCATAGCCTGAAATATTTCTCATCTGGCTCCAGACAGGAAAACTTGCTGACCTGTGCTTCAGACCAGAAGCGCTTTGCTCTCAATTGTCTTTGTTTAATCTACCACTCCATCACTCTGGACATATCCAGTGCCTAGGTTCCAGAAAAGAACAAGTCATAATAGTTGTAGCTCTTGACACATTATTAGAAAATGTTTTCAGAAACCAGTTCTTTAGAATTTTTAAAATGAATCTCAGTAAATGAGAACATTGTCTGTTATTGTCATCTAAAAAAGGAAAAGACAATTGAGGTTCCAAGTTCACTATACTGAGAAAAGATGGTCTATAGAGACAGTCTGTTCAACCTCATCCATCCTGGTTGTGACATTTCCTGGCTTTGAGATCTTGAGCAGGTCACCTAACCTCTGTGTGTTCCAGTTCAAAAATGGAGATGACATTACACCTAACTCACAGGAGTGAGTTAATATATACAATTTAGGGATCAGGAACTGACTCCTATATAAGGTATTAGTTGTTATTCCTGTTCTTCAGATTCTTCAAAAGACTGATTATTTCCAGATAAGCAGAATGGTAAAATTGAGACCTGAATATAGTGGGGAAATCTTCAATGAGCAAATAGCCTGTGGAATTGATGCCTATTAAATATTCTTTTACATTTGTTCTCTATAGAGACTTCTATGAAACTAACTGAATAAAATGTCAATACCCTCTGACAGCTTAATAAACAATATAAGACTTATAACATTTGAGCAAGAAAATAAAGATCTCAAATGCAACATATAGTCCATCTTCCCAGAAGCCTATGTAAACAGATCATAGGAGCCATGCCACTAACACCCTGTGGTTTCTCCTACAGCATCAGAGCATCTTAACTGCAAAGGGTAGGGTCTCCTATTCTTTTGAGATTGGTGTCTGGTGGTACCCAGCTCTGATCTATATGCTGACAGTTCCTAGACAAGTTAATTACTTCAGATGTAATAATAATAAATGGCCTAAAGAGTTAGTGGGAATGATAATTATTATATGACAGCTCTAGAAAAAGAATTATTGTTATTTATAATATACAGAAACAAGGAAAGATTCATACTTATTAGAAGTAATTGAAATCATGAGCCTCAAAGTCACACTATCTTGGATTCAAAGTCAGCCTTCATCCATTTTACTGAATATGAACTTGAGCAATTTACATAACATCTGGACCTTTGTCTACTTAGACATAAAATAACAATACTAAAAGAACCAACATCAAGCACGTAGTCATACAATGACAAACATTTACTGACTAGCTACTATGTGCCAATCACATATGTTTTGAGCATAGCAAAATAAGTAAATAAACACCTGCTTTCATTCTACTAGTAAGAACCCTTTAGTAAAGGTTGAGATACATTAAGTTTTCAAACAATGTTAGATATTATTACCATTAAAGATTGATGATGATAATGATGATGTTGTTGAGGTCAGACAAGTGCCTCATTATGAATTTGGTAGTAATGCTGAATGTCTGTATGTGGGGAAGTATTTCTGGTTTGTGTCTCTAACATGTGTTTCCCATGTTGCTCATGTCCCATGAGTTATCTGTACTGTGATTTGCAATTCTTGATTGAGGGTCTTTTTTATTAAGACTTACTGATGCCCTAAAATATTATATTGTTTGAAAAATTGAAAATCAGTGCCTGACTGAGATATTTGCAGAATTATCAGGAAAGGTCATTTGCAGAATATATATATATATATATATATATATATATATATATATATATATATACATT